CGTATACAACACTTAGAGAAGATACACTGAAACTTAAGTTAAGGAACTGCAGCCCAGATAACTGGCCAGTAAGGGATGCAACAGAGGGCTTCTGATACACTAAACCGCAAGTTGCAATGTGCCCTGTTTATTCTTACCCCCTTCCTATATCACAGGCAAATTAAGGCGTGGACCATATTTCACTTCTCTTGTTAGCCTCTGAAGCACATAGCATAAGGCTGTACAATTGGCCAGTTCTCACTTGGGTTTCACTGCCTGACAGGAGGAACACATGCATGCTAGCAAACACGCAAGCCTCACTAAGAACGAACATTTATGGGCTGGTAAGCTTTGAGGACTTATTTCCGTGCTGGCCTGCAGCTTAACAACAAAAAGTTCTAAAAACAAATTCAGTACTTGTGAAAGATGCCACCTGTCCTGCCTCAGGGGCTGCAGGCCTCTTTTTATACACCGAGTGGGAACAGTACAGGGAGTGAGGAAGCCAGTTTTCCTCAAGCCACACCCACAAACTAGCTGGAGCCAAGACAAGGGCCCAGCCCTTTGGGGAAAGAGCACTGCTCACATTTAACCTTTGGTTTCACTGCTGAAACTGCCAACAGTCTGGGAATGAGGCAAGGTAGAACACACTGAGTGCCAGGTCTGATGATGTAACGTTAAATTCTCAGCTCTCCTATCGGGTGATAAGGAGAGGCCAATGATGTACAATTTTTTTTTTCCTTCCCTAATATTCAACCAAAATCACTGACTACTAACTTTTTTTTTTTTTTGCACAACTCACCAATTTAAGAAAAAAAAGTATAGAATTCAGTGTCTAATTCCAGTGACTGATTTCAGTTTCAGAAAAACTGAACATATAGGACCTGGTATATGCTTATTTCATACACATACCATGTGCAACAAGAGCACAACAAAGTTCTCAGAAGTATTGAATTTCCAAGTCACAACCATGTGTAATTAGGAGACCAGAGAACAATATGCATCTAAACACCAGAAGGGCATACAGCCATGTGCACCAGGGCTGTCAGGGACACCAGACAACTATTCCTGGACCCAGGAAAACAGACTTCACCAGTGGGATCACATTTCAGAGCTCCAGCAATTCATAAAACACTTGGGAGTTTTCTACCAATATATCTGACAGATGTTGTCTTTTGTTGGGATTATTTGAATTGGTATCCATGCTTTTGAGACCTTTAGGATATAACAAAGTGATCCCTTCTCCCACATGTCCAAAGAGATCTTCTTTTCTGAATGCTAGGACAAACAATATGAGCATGATATCCTTGTCCATTAGATGGACCTGGTGAGACAGAGAGAGAACAGCAGGACTGGAAAGAGCTTCTCTGGGCTCAAGAGAGCTCTGCTTCCTGCCTGGGGCCTGAGTTGCTGGGAACTCATGGTTCTCCTCATGATTTATACCTAACATGAATCAAGCTGTTGGCATCCTGAGGCTCTGCCTGTGTAAGGCACTCCATTGGGCTTACAACTTCCTAGAAAGAGTCACAGAGAAGCCAAGAGGAGAGCAAGCCTGAGTCAGGGCAAGGGCCTGGCATCAGCTTTGGGCGGGTCCGCATCGCATGTTTTTCCCATGACTCCTGAAAGAACTCTCCAGCTCTGGGTCTATAATCAATGCTGGGAAAGCTAAGAGTTGACACAACAATATGACACACAGGTAACAAATGAGAACTCAACATAAAAACAGTACCAATTCCTAGTCATTCACTCGTCAACTATAACCATACAAAGGCAGGACCTCTGCTCTCTGTTTCAAACTCTGCAAGAATTAACCAAAGGCATTAGCGTAGCCCTCCCTTTCTATAGGGACACAACCAAGATTCCCAGCAGATGCCTGAAACCTAGGATAGTGCCAAACCATTTTTATTCTATGTTTTCGCCTATAATAAATACCTACAATAAAGTTTAATTTCTATGTTAGGCACAGTAAGAAGTTAACAACAATGATAAAGTACAACTATTATGACTTCTGTAGTTTGAAGAGTAACAACAAAGCCAGCAGAAATTTCATCCTCCTCCTCTATAATTCCATGGAAAAAAGATTCATTCTTATATCAATCTTAGTGTTCAGTTTCTTGTTTTATGTTAATAATTTTTGCCTAACTTAAAAAGAGCACTTTTCAGCTCCTCTTTATCATAGCTGATTCACCAACACCACTACTTTCCTACTTGCGAGCCATTATCAACAAAAATAAGAGTTACTTTGACACAGCATCATTATGCTGTGACAGCTGATCTAATATCTGAGTGACAACTAAGTGACTAACCAGCAGGCCGCACATACAGTGTGGTGACGCTAGACAAAGGGATGATTCACATCCAAACTGGCACACTCGGGGAACCAAGAAAACCACCATGCTATCTGCAACAGAATATAATTTAGAGTTTATAAATTTTGTTTATTTCCAGAATTTTTCATTTAATATTTTCAGACTATAGTTGAACAAAGATTAATAAAACCCTGCAAAACCATGAGGGAGGGGAGGGGCATTGTAATAACTTTAGCAAATATATAAGTCCTTACAAAGTCATGTCCCAAGTGTATTTCTTTGCATTCTAATCTTTCTCTAAAGCCTACTTTTTTTTACCTTTGAAAACTGTTAAGAATACAACAACTTTTGAAAATCTACTTTGGGATTTTATATGTATGTAGTTTATATGTATATAGTAAAATGAATTTGAATCAACTAAGAAAAATATCACTGTAGCATTTTCCAATATTTTTGTGAGAACTGTTTATCAAACTAGAAGACTGCTATGGGACAATTATTTACTATGTACTGCATTTGTGCAATGCAAAAGAGAGGAATGAAAAGATTTGTTCTTTACTTATTAGAAGTCCCTTACTCATTAGTAGTTTGTAAAGATTCAAACAAAACAATAATGCATCACCAACCAAAGTTATAATGGATAGCTTACAAAATAAATATAATAAATTCAGTGCTAAAAAGAGCTCATGAAAAGCCAGACTAATTGTGTACAAGAAAATGGTTAGTAGGGATGAAAATTGAATAAGGTTGTAGAAAATGTACAATATTTCAATAGAAAGAGGGGCTAGAGAAAGGCCTTGTACATGGAAGGAAGTTTTAGTAAAAATATAGAAAACATGACAACAGGCGTGAACTGAGCAAACTGTTCAAGTGTAGCTAAAGGACAGGCAATGAGAAGGAAATAACAGAAAACAGACTGGAAGGAATTGCTGTGACCAGTTCTTAACATAAAGAGAGGAGGAAATATGGAAAGCTAAATTTAGGAAATAAGAAAAATGACTTTAAATTATGCTCTTCTCAAATAATTCTGCACATCATAGTTTCAAATTTTTATTTGTACATGTTTTTAAAGAATATTTTATTTACCAACTTATTTGTAAATTCAGACAATAACCTCAAACATTTTTTTCTAAGCTAGCAATTTTTTGCCCACAGCTTAACTAATATATTCCTGCTATCCCTATCTTGAGATTGTTTCATTAAATCTCTTCCCGTTAGTAAAAACCTTCTTAACTCATTAAGTACATAATGGATAGCTACTCTCAAACTAGCTATTTACTCACTTACTTAGCCATCCTCTCTCCCTTTCTGCCCCAACTTGTCCCTGCTAACCACTGGCTCACCCATTCTTCTCCTATGAACCACATTAATAACAACATTAATAGGCAATACTCATGGAGTTTTTGATTGAGTGCCAGACACTGCAATTCGTTCTTCATCAATAGTATGCAATATATTCCTCAAAACAACAATGTGAAATGCATATTCTTGATCTCTATTTTATGAGGAAACAAGTTCAGAGATGTCAAATACCTCATCAGCTGGAAAGTGGCAGAAACCAAGGGGAGACTGGGTCAGCTAGAGTCTGCCACACTGCCTCTCAGCACTCCATTTCTTGTCGCCAGCACCTTTGGACCTTTACTAGTATGAGTCAGGATTTCCAGGTCAAAAAATTAAAACATCCACTGAGCATCTGCTACCCCGCTGTATAATCCTGTCCTAGGTGCTGCTAAAGATAAATAAATAAATGAGAGAATGCCTATAGATGGCTGATGCCCATAATCTCCCATATTTCAGTACAAATAGTTGTATTATATTGGTTTATAAGATTATGTGTCCATGATTCATAAACTAGAACAACCAAAGCCAGAGGGGATGAAAATGGATGGTGACCACATCTCAGAGACAGACATTAGCCAGCCTCAACTAAATGACTTATAGAGAATTTTAATAACACATTTCAATAAGAGTCTGTAAAAACTTGTGCTGCCAATGAAAAATTTGTCCTGTCAGAAATTCCCAACCAAATCTGTTTATAATCCATTTTCAATGAATTTCAGCTTCCTTTGAAGTAGAATAAGCTACTAAAGCACTTAGCCAACAATAAGCACATTGTGAAGCCAGTCATCACAAAATTCATTACTGATGAGAAAAGTCACTAGGTTAGAACACAAGTGTATTATTAAACTCCCTCTACCACAGAACTGGATGCTGTATAAAATCATATGCATCTATTTAAACACAGAAAGCTAATTCAAACACCCATCTTTTAAAGCTATCTACTTTTAATACTACCTGTACTATCCTCTTAATACAATTCTGCTTGATATTTTAAAGAGAGTAGTTTTCAAAAGTAACTCTAAGAATTACAAATACATAGGAAATTTAACCAGATGTTGCTCAGCAATTTTGTTCATGCTATGATCACTTGTACCCTAGGAAACATCTAAAAGATATCACTATTTTGGATTTACTGTTTACTCTTTACAAGGAGGCAAACTGCATAGCAAGGACTCAAAAGAATACAGTGGCAAATCCAAACTGCCTTACTCTGCAGCCTGAACTTCTAATACAAGAATTTTTTTGTTGTTGTTAAGGAAACAGACATTAATATGAAGAAAGAATGTCAAGAGTCACAAATGGCAAAAGAAAGAATACAATGGTTGAGCAACTAGAAGCACCACAGTACACAACATTAGCGACACTGATACTTACTGTTCAATTCGGGGTGACAAGTACAGCTTGGGGTATACTTGGGTGGCTTCAGCATCCTCAAAGCTGACAGAAAGGAGGGCCACATCTTCGCCAGGATCTTCATTTACATCCTTAAAAAGGAACAGAAAACAAAAACGATCAGTACTTGTTCTTCTCACCTCCTGTAAGTGACAAGCTCATGTCCCCCAGCATGGCGGTCATATTTGAAGGTTCTCCTTGCTCCAGCTGAATGATCCAGCATGTCCTCTGCCACTCAGCATGTTATTCCACTCAGAAAAAAATGGTTTCGAAACCTTCTGGCCAAAGTTTATCACGCCCAGGCAAAAGACCACCACCTACCCCACTTGTTTCCACATTCAAGGGTGGTTGGAATGAGTAGTAAGGTTTTAATTCTTAGAAAAGAATTAGAAAACAAACAAACAAAAAATCCCCAAACATCAAATTGCAGTTAACATTGCTTTGAATATGATTTATATCTTAAAACACCAAAAAATGTTATACTACCGAGTAATTCTATTATACCTTGACATTACGTTGTTACTTAAGTTGTTACTTAAATAGCAAAAAATTGATAGGAAACAGATCACTATGAAACAGTCCCCACACAAAGGACAGGGGAGGTAGGTACATATCTGCCTTACAAAATGATTATGGATGATTCTCATTTGAACCATAAGAACATTCATACATGTCTTGGAATTCTAATTGTAAGATTAAAAAACATTGTCGATCCAAGTGCAAACTAATAAACATTATGAGGTTAACCAAATAAACCACAATAAACTAAACTGATGACAATAAAGCTAACCTTACTGTGATTTATAGTTAATAATCAAGAAGGGTGGACATTTAGCCTCATAATTAAAATGCTGGTTACAATGCCTGTGTCCCAAGTACCTAGCTTTGATAACAGACTGCAGCTCCTGGCTCAAGCTTTTTCCTGGGAAGAGGCAATGGTCATGGCTCCAGTAACTGGGCTCACGCCACTCATGTGAAAGGCCTGAATTGGATTTCTGGCTCCTGTCTTCAGGCTAGCCCAGTTCCAGTCACTGTAGGGATTCAGAGAATGAACCAGGAGATAGGAATATACATACTCTCACTCCTTTCTCCTCTTCTCTCTCTCTCTCTCACATACATAAACAAATCAACAGATTTCTTTAAGCTCAGGAATAGCAACGATTTAATATGATAGCCAAATTCAGTTAGCACTAATGACACATTGATGAAGTATCCTAAATCAAGATTGTGGAACTTAGAACTGCATAAACATACTTTACCATTATTGCCAAGCTTCAAGTGTCTGCCAGACATCTGAAGAAAATACTTAACTAGCATAGATCTAGTAGCATATTGATCTTAATTTGTAAGGATCAAATTTAGTAAGGATTAATAACTTATTTTTGGTTGGTAGTAGTTTCAAGTAAAATATGAAATTTGAAAACAGTTAATAGACTTGCACATCATTCACAAGGACTGGTAAGGCCTGACCTATACTTCTGGATCAGTTTCTACATCTTCAAGTGTGCTCACTAGGCTTCCAACATGGACTTCAGAATTCACCAACCTCTGAGCACTGGGAAGTTCAGTTAAGAAGTCCTTTATCTTGACTCAACCTACTCCCTCTCCTTCTTTTCTTGCACCCCAGGAAGCTGGCCACCATGCTTACCTTGCTTAGCTCTAACAACCTCAGTCTCCTTGCTCTGTAAGATGTGGTGGTATGACATTCACAGTCACACTAGTCTTTCATCCTAAACAGCCAAAATGCTAAAAGGAAAGACAAGAATATTGCTGGACTCTGCTTAGTCTCTGGGATCTGGCTCATCTCTCTCCTCTCCGAGTTCTCTATGCTTTCTCTCCGTCACCTTCCCTCCTATACGTCCCTCCAGCTCCATACAAACAGCCTACTCACAGTGCTCCTTCTTCAAGACTGCTCCTACTCAGATATCCTAGAAAACATGGCAGACCCATCTTTGTCCTTTTCTTACATGATGTCTAAATGTGATGAAGACAATCTCCCATCTCTAGAAACTCCTTTTCCTTGATTCTAAGAAACCACATTTACCAGATATCCTCTTTCTTTGGCCATTTCCCCTTCCTTTCACTTTGACTCTTCAATATTGATTTTTTAATTGTTCTGTTTTACATTACAAAATTCGGGCTTGTTTAAACAGGCCAAACTACATAATGTGTATGTGTGTACATAAGTTTATAAAGAGGAAATTCTCCCACCTCCACTTTACCTTCCGCTTTTTGAGGTAACCAAGGTTGGTGGTGTATGTAAATTCAAACAGCTCTGGCCATGCTTACAAACACACAAGCATGCAGGGATACAAGCTTGCATCTAAATAGGTACTTTAACTTACTGTTTTATTTTGCCTAATGGGATCATATCATACATATCACTCCACAAAATGCTTTATAAAGAGTCACATAATATTCCATGGCATGAATTTATTTTGACTAAATCATTTCCCTAGCAACAAATATTGTAGTAGTTTGCAATTCTTATCTACTTCACAGTGCTGCAATAAATATTTTTATGTGAATGTGTATATATGTCCTTTAGTAGTGGGAGGTCTATTTCTGTTTTTATTTTATTTTTGATGATATTTACACAGTTGATTAGGGTGGGAAGGGCCAAGGACCAGGGAAAAGCAGATGAGACAATTGTTTCCAAATCTTCTTCCTATATCTGGGGTGTGGAGGAAGTCAAGAGGAGAAGCCACACCTAGCCTCCCAACCATCTCAGTACCCAATAATGGAGAATGGCCACCCAATGTCATCCCAGGGTCCCTGATGTAGAGCATGCTCCAAAGGTTCTGCATGAGTAGTTTCAATAGTTCTGAAATACTGTTAGTCTCACTGATCCAAGGATGAGTAAATCCTTCCAAGGTCCAATGCCAGACATAGTTCACCTTAGAGTCTCCATTCGCCCAGATATTTGCTGTCAGTGCTGGGATAGTTGACCAATTTGTTCTGCCCTCCCTCCTCTGCTATGGTACCAGATGTCCTCTGTAGGCTCCAATGGACTGCCAAATCTTCCATGTGCATCTAGGTATGCTGTCCACTGCACCATATTCAGTAACTGGAGAGGCCCCTTTCAGACACAGGCACTCCACAGTGTCAGACCACAGGTGCTGCCACTCTTCCCATGGTTTGAGTCCTGAATCCAGTGGTTCAATTGGGGGGTTGCCCAAAGAAATCCCGTTTGAAGTGACCCCAGTCCTGAATTGAATGTGCTTGCCAGTAGAGTCTGGCTTTTTCTGTCTCTGACATCAACCGATGCATACACTGACAGGTGCAATTGCTGGGTCAGTTCTGCTCCAGTGCCATCTCTTACATAAACCAATGGATGCTGCACCCCAGCCCAATCCTACCCACCACACAGTTGGCCCTCACATACACCAGCGGGAGCTGCAGCCTAGTCATAGTGACCCTCAATAACTCCCTATTGGCCTGCCCCCAGCCCTGGTTCCTGTGCTTACCAGTATGTGTAGCATACTTGTCTAGTTTGTCCCATTAGCTTTCATACACACCAATGGGTATTGAAGCCTAGCTCATCCTAAACAACCCCACTATTCAGCCCATACTCATGCTGGCTGTGTCTATGCAGGCCCATACCCAGCCCTGGTTCTTATGCTCACCAGTGGGAGTTGCAACCCATCAGAGAGGTCCCCAGTTTCCCTACTGGACCCACTCCCTATTCTGGATCTTGCACTCTCTAGGTGATTCTACAGTCTAACTTGATGGGATTTGCCCTCAGCCCCAGCATTGCCCGCTGATGCTGGGCAATGCCCAAGCAGCCTGCTCTTATTCTGGCCTACACTCGTACCAGTGAGTACAGTCAGTTAATCCTGTCTGGTTCTCCCCTTAACCCTGTTAACATGCAGGCCAACAAGTATTGTAGCCCTGCCCATCCTGGTCTGTACCTGATCCAAGTTCTCACACTTCCCAGTGGGAGCAGTGGCCCAGTAGGGGACCCCCTGAAACATCTCTATCATAGTTGCATACCCCGCACCCAGGTCTCACATGTGTGCTGGTGGGTGCTGTGGTCCAGTCTGGCATGGTCTGCCTCACCTTGATATTTGGTGGTGGATGCTGTAGCCTGGCCCTGCCCAGTCTGCTCCCAGTTCCAGCTCATGGCAGAGGGTGCTACAGCCTAGCATAGCCCAGCCAGCCTCCAGACTTGGCCATGCACTCACCTGCAGGGAGAGCAACTTGCTTCCCCAAGTTTCTTGTTGTCAGGTCTCCTTCCAGTGGCAGATTTTGTGCACAACTGTGGGTCCTTGGACCAGAGTGATTTAGTCTAACTCCTGTCCTGGCAGGAATAGTGGCTTTGCCCAACCGGCCCACACCCATTCTGGTTCTTACTGTTGGGTGCTACAGCCAAGCCACACCTGGTCCACGCAGACATAGCTCTCACATGGTTCAGTAGGTACTGAGACCTAGCTAAGCCTGTCCCACAACCTAACTGACTCCCATGAGCACCAGTAGGTGCTGGAGTGTAGCCCAGTCTGGTCCACCCCAGACTCAGTCCACACCCATGCCAAGGGACACTGCGGTCATGTCCAGCCTAGACTGTTGCACCCATTCTAACTCTTGAGCTCAACAACAGGAACCACAACTCAGCCAGGGTATCCCCTTACCTCCCCAGTCAGGTTGTTCTCAGCCATAGATGTTGTACATGCCAATGGTTGCTCTGATCCTGCTCAGCACAACCTATCCCACATCTTGGCCTTTGCTACTCGATGCTAACCTGACCTGTGCCCACCCACTCTTAGTCCCAATTCTTGCTGGTGAGTGCTACAGCCTAGCCCTGACCAGTTTGCTCCCATCCCTGGCTTTCATGCAAACCTGTGAAGTGTGTCAGCCTAGCTCAGCATAACCTGTACTCCAGCCTAGCTTCTGCATATGCCAGCGAACTAAGGTTGGCCCAGCCCTGTCTGGTCCACCCCTCCAGAACCAACCCCCATACTTGCCGATGGGCTAAGCTAACTTGAATGGGCTGACCAACTCCCATGTCTGAATCACATGCTCACCAGTGGGAGCTACGGCCCACAAGGGAAGTTTCCAAAGATCCCCCACCAGGTCCCATTCCAAAACCCAGATC